TTCAATATTTTTTTTTTTTAACTTAACTCTTCTCTATTACAACACTACCATAAATGCATAATGACTTTAATTTCTAATATACTTCATGAGGTGGATGTATTCTGATTTATTTAGGCATTTTGTCTTCCCATTGTTGAATATATCATTAGTTTATAATGTATTTACCCTTACATGTAATTATATACTGAAAAATTTTATCATCACTCTAGAAAGTTGAGGCTGGAGAATAGTGATTTTGAGTCTGGCCTGGACAACTTAATGACTTAACAAGACGTTACCTCAAAATGAAAAGTTTTGGAGCTATGGCTCAGTGTTGAAGGTCCTGAAGTCAAGTACCAGTGTTGCACCAAAAATGCCTCGAACTTTTGTAGTGTAACTTATTTTCTTAGAAGTAAAACAATTTGAATTAGTAAGGCAAATTAAGTGAATATATCAAACATATTAATAAATTAATATGCATTAGTAACCCTTGTAAAAGAATAAACATATGATTACTTTCCCTTTTAAGATCTAGAAAGAGAAGACTGTGTTTTTTGTTATCATTATTTGGTTTTTGGTTTGCTTATTTGTTGAAGATTGAGGCATGAAACTAAAGATAAAGTTTGACAGAGAACAAGTCACAAAACTGGGTCCATGGACAAAGTTGAGTAGACTGGCTTGAAAGTATCATTTCAGGGAAGTAAATCCCAGTGTGTTAGATTGCTGAGTTTGTGTCTCGTAACTCCGATGAATAGAATCGAGGATGAGGAAGGTTAAGAGTAGAAAGAATTGATTGAGAAGATGCTCCTGAGAAGCAGGAGAGGCCACAGAATTGAGGTGCCCTTGAGGTTCTTTATCTAGCAGTTTTTTATACAGCAATATCACCTCACAGGTTCTCTTGTATCAAGTTATAAAACCAGCCTATAGGGTTACAAATAAAGTCACTTAGCTAATATTGATCTGCTAGAAAACGAGGTAAGTAGGAAGGTTACAGAGTACTGAGAAAAACAAAGGATTTCAGAAAGGGGTAGAAGTGAGTGTTAGAGTGCTCTGGTCATTTATCTAAGTGTTTGTTAGATGCTTTGTACAGGTTTGTTATATTGTTTAGGCTTACTGGATCAGAGAGTTAGAGTACAGCTTTGGACTGTTGTTTATCTCTGTGGAGGTTCTCCGGCCCAGCCATTGTCTCCATTTGGGGGCTACCTTCTGTCAACTCAGCCCTCCACAATAACCTGTCTAGCCTCATCTGTGTTCTGACTCCATTTTGGACCTGGTCCCTTTCTCACTGCGTATCAGTCTCTACCTGACATAGCTATGTGCAATAGTGTGAAAGAAGAGCAGATACTTTTTTATTGCTACAGTTTAGGTATACAGTACAGTTACAGTCATCATTGGGGTCTTGTACCTTTACACGACATATCTTGGTTCTTATTTTTTCCCCATTCCGCTTTACCCCTTCACCCTTCCCTATTTCCAAAGACTTTGTTTCTATTTTTTTCCCTTTCTCTTATTTTTTTCTTTTACCTTCTTTCCTTTTCCCTGACCCTCCCATATCCCCTACAGCTTTACATCTTTTCTTCCTATTAAACAATATCACTCACACATTTTGGTCCTTATTTATTCTTTTAGTTTATTACACCAGAGAAACTATATGGGGTTTACAAATGTGTGTCCTATTAATTTCATTTAAGAGTATGTCCTCAATGTGCATTGAAGAGGATATAAGAAAATGGAATGACATCCCTTACTCCTGGATAGGAAGAACCAATATAGTGAAAATGGCCATATTTCCAAAACTTCTATGCAGATTCAATGAAATCCATATTGAAATCCCAACAGTACATTTCATAGAACTAGAGAAAACAATACAAAAATTCATTAGGAACCAAAAGAGATCTAGAATAGCAAAAAACATTCTAGGCAACAGAGACATGGCAGGAGCTATCAAAATCCCCAACTTGAAACAATACTACAAACCCACTGTGATAAAAACAGCACGGTACTGGCAAGTAGCAGATTATTTTTAAAAGAATGACCCAAGACACTGAGAAGCTCAATGAATGAACCACAGCCCTTATAACTTCTGGTTTGAATAAATGCTGATTTAAAATCGCTTCAATAACTAGCAAGGGCTAATCAAACTAATACTTGTAATGCAGTGGTTGGGAGTTTGTCTTAGTCATTTCTCTTTGCTGAGACAAAATACCTGACACCCAGAGCTTAAGGAGAGAAAGGTTTATTTTGCCCACATTTCAGCCCATAGTCCCCTGGCTCCAAGGTAGGGTGAAATGGTGCAGAGACATGGCTGACAGGAAGCAAAGAGCAAAGGGAGGATCTAGGGAAGGAGACGATCCTTCCAGGACACACCCCAGAGACCTGTCTCTTCTGACCAGACCCCACTTCAAGGGCAGGTCAGTGATGATCCTCCCATAAACCAAGGGGACAACTAGGTGTAAACCAGAACTGAGCTCTTACTGCTAAATGGGCAAGGTGCAAAGCCACTCCTAGTTTCCAAAGAGAACACCCCCAATCAGACTGCTGCACTTCAAGGAAGGGGATTTAGGTCCTTAGCATCAATAGGTGTTCTACAGAACTTCCTTCAGATGCAGTACTTTCAGTTATTGCTATTGCACCACTGGAGGTATCCTTCTGCAGCCCAGACCACCATCACTCTGCTGTTCCTTTGAAGATTCTTCTCTTGTCACATTGCTAATGAATTTGGATAATGTTATTTGTTACTCCCCCACCTTGTACTAAACATTTTAATAATTTTAATAATTGTTTCCTGTGTTTTGTTTCCTAGCAACGGCATTATTCTCAATTCATGTGTTCTGTTTTGCTATTCTGCTTTTCTGTAAATGGGGATGAGGTGAGGTTAAGGTTGAAAATCTTTTCAAAACAACTCAAGAAATCATGAGAGAGAGCAAGATAATAGATCAGTCTTCAAAAGTGAAAAGGGCTGGAGTGTCTAGTATATCACAAAGTACTCATTGGTAGCTCTGAGTCATTGACACAAGTTCACAGTTGTAGTGACCAGCACAGTAGGCTCCAGCAATGTGAGAGCACTGACCACTGGAAACATGGTTATCTAAATCAAGGTGGGAATATATTTAAAATATACAAAAATTTCCACCACCAATGGCCACACATCTCCCCAGTTTACTGGATGGGGGAAAGAGCTGCTAATAATAATATTTAGAGGACAACAATTAGCACAAATTATTAGATGTCCCTGATGTTCACTGTAATACAGTAAGTGGACCATAACGATTTTAGATAGTTTTCAGTTGTGTAGGGTAGACATACTATCTATTATTATTTGGAGCATAAAAAGCGATATTCAATTTATGTGTATACTGTTAAATTATATGATTTTTATTGAAATTATTAAAAACACCATTACAGAAGGTTTATTTTATTTGCTTATTTTTGTGTTAATACATTTGTGATGCATAATGAATGTATTGATGACAGGGAATTGATATTGAATTTTAATCTTCTTTACTCTTTCTCCTCCCTTCCTTGCAGCCTTTCTCCACCTTTTCATGCCCTTTCTGCCTCTATAATGTTTATATCACTTTCATATCTTTTATTTTGCTTTTTAATTATTTATACATTGAGTTTCTCATAAAATAGAAACCATGAATATTTAACCTTCCTTTACAGAAATTTTATATGTAAAGAAAGTTATCATTCTGGCTACATTTTTGCATCTTTAATTCTAAAACCATTGAGTACACATGTTTTTTTCTTTCCCTTTCTGGGATGAGCAGTTCAGCTGCACAGAAGGCCCGAGACGGGGCAGACCAGTGCAGTTATGCAGGATGAAACTCAGTCTGTAAATTAATAAGTATACCTTAAATAATTGAGCAGGTAAAATAATAAGGATCCTTTCAATATTAAGGTGATCACAAAACTTTGTAAACAAATCCTGCCTTTTTCAAGTTAAATGTCTCTGAATGTAGAAATAACTCAGAATCACCAGCTGGTGCTTATTGTTTTCTATTTTGTAAAAGCTGTCTCACTTTTGTACGTCTCAACCAGCTCATGAGTAAAGCAGGTCAAATCATGTCTATCTCTATTTTGAGGATTAGAAAACCATCTAATTTGAAGGAATATGATTGATAATTAGGGTCATACACAGGAAATTTGAAACAGAAAAAAGACATACTGAAAAAATAAACCAATAAGCCACCCATATTTGCTTTTTCAAAAATTAAAATCTTTTGAAAATAAAATAAAACAAAATTAAAATCTCTCATTCATTTTCATTTCTATCAGATATTTCCATCTTCAATAAAACTATGCTTCTTTTCAGCTCAATTTTTGTGCTGTGTATGGAGTGAAGATGAAAGAGAGGAGAGGAAAAAAAAAGCCTCATCAATACTTAGTGGACTAAAAGAAATGTCAGGACCACTCTCCATTTTTTCACTGGTACTGTTTTTGCTAAGATGCTAAGGCATTTTCCTGTAGAAAGCACTAAGCATTAATTCATGGTAGTTTAAGGATGGATAAAACAAGGTATTGAAAATATTGTATAGCCCCCATCCCACACTGCAAAGGTTTATAACACATCAGTATAATTAAGATTTAACATGAGAGAGGAGTACTTAGTGATCCAGGGTCTTGAGTATGTTCGGGCTGATTAGCTTTTGTTTTGAATTTAAGAACAGGAGTAGATGTCAAAGCAGATGTGGGATAAAGAAACCAGCAGAGAAGGCTCGGACCTCCTGACCATTCTTATTTTGACCTTATTTCACTTCTCCAACTATCCCCAACGCAGGTACCACAAAGAGTTTCACTTTCTAGTAGTTATAATGGGCACTTGGCAACACTATAAATCTAGATTGACAGGATGATCATCCAATAGCAGAGTGAGAGCCTCCGAACCAAAAGGAAGAGGTGGGGCAAAACAAAACGTTAGAAATTTCCAACCGCTCGGCAACTTGCAGCAATTAAGAGGTCTCCAGCACTGGGTCTAGGGGTCAGTCCAAACCTTGTTATGTCAAGATGTCTCTTTCCAAAAAGTTGACTTTGGACAAATTAGATGTCAAGGGGAAACGAGTCGTGATGAGGGTAGACTTCAATGTCCCCATGAAGAATCAACAGATTACAAATAACCAGAGAATCAAAGCTGCCATCCCAAGTATCAAGCACTGCTTGGATCACGGAGCCAAGTGTGTTGTTCTTATGAGTCACCTAGGCCGGCCTGATGGTGTTGCCATGCCTGAAAAATACTCCTTGGAGCCAGTTGCTGCTGAGCTCAAAACTTTGCTGGGCAAAAATGTTCTGTTCCTGAAGGACTGTGTGGGTCCAGAAGTAGAGAAAGCCTGTGCCAGCCCTGCCACTGGTTCAGTTATCCTACTGGAGAATCTGCGTTTCCATGTGGAGGAAGAAGGAAAAGGCCAAGATCCTTCTGGGAAGAAGCTGCAAGCTGAGCCAGATAAAGTAGAAGCCTTCCGAGCATCCCTCTCCAAGCTGGGTGATGTCTATGTTAATGATGCTTTTGGCACTGCGCACCGGGCTCACAGTTCCATGGTAGGTGTGAATCTGCCTCAGAAGGCATCTGGATTCCTGATGAAGAAAGAGCTGGAATACCTTGCCAAAGCCTTGGAAAACCCAGAGAGACCCTTTCTGGCTATACTTGGAGGAGCCAAAGTGGCAGACAAGATCCAACTCATCAAAAATATGCTGGACAAGGTCAATCACATGATTATTGGTGGTGGGATGGCTTACACCTTCCTTAAGGTACTCAATGGCATGGAGATCGGTGCCTCTTTGTTTGATGAAGAGGGGGCCAAGATTGTCCAAGATATCATGGAAAAAGCAGTTAAGAATGGTGTCAAGATTACCTTCCCTATTGATTTCATCACCGCTGACAAGTTTGATGAGAGTGCTCAAATTGGGAAAGCCACTATAGAATCTGGCATACCTCCTGGCTGGATGGGTTTGGACTGTGGTTCTGAAAGTAATAAAAAGTTTGCTCAAGTTGTGGCCCAAGCAAAGCTAATTGTTTGGAATGGCCCTGTAGGAGTGTTTGAATGGGAAGCTTTTGCTAAAGGAACCAAAGCCCTCATGGATGAGATTGTGAAGGCCACTTCCAAAGGCTGTGTCACCATCATAGGAGGTGGAGATACTGCTACCTGCTGTGCCAAGTGGAACACTGAAGATAAAGTCAGCCATGTGAGCACTGGAGGGGGTGCCAGTCTGGAGCTTCTGGAAGGTAAAATCCTTCCTGGAGTGGAGGCCCTCAGCAACTTGTAATCAATAGAACGCTCCTTCCTGCTGTTCTTGTCCACCGTCTTTAGTCAGCTTAGTACTTTTATATCTCAATTTGGTTTTGGTTAAAATCTACCCCTCATAAGACCCACACAAGGACAAAATCACTGGAACCTCAGGAACTCTTAACATCCATACAACAACTCGGTTTATTTCAGTGCTGTCATGCATTTGCCTGCTGTCCTCAAAATAATACTTGGACTTCACCATTGTGCTCTATAGGAACAATATCTTAAATTGCCTATTAAAAAAAGCTGAATAATTTGTGTGTTCATTTAGTCCTGCTTTGTTAACGTTTCTCTGTTTCAAGCAGGGAAAAAGGACCGACTCAAGTTATTGTGGATTGATGGGGTAAAGGATGACAAAATGTTAAATAATGAAAGTGCTTAAACAGAAAAAATTTTACCTGTAATACATCCTAAATATCTTTAAAGATCTACTAGAAGAAAATTGATACCTAAATAAGAAAAGAGGAAATGATATTCAGTAAGCCTAAGAATTTAAGAAAAAAATGCAGACACAAGAAAGAAATTAAATCTGTGTCTGTGGATGTGCATATATCTCTGTTAGAAAAGGAATGTCAAATGAAATTCAGGATATAAATGGAGAAGTAGGGCAAGGGATTTAGCTAAGTGGTTCTGCTGCTTGCCTTTCAAGCTCAAGGCTCTGAGTTCAATCTCCAGAACCAATAAGTAAATAAATAAATAAATGGAGAAGTAAAGGTTTTATTTTTAAAGCAAATATATTTAATAATGGATCATAAACCAATAAATTGTAAAAGTGGATTTTAGTGATGAATATAAATTTGTATACAAGTAATTTAGTATTGAAAAGTAGAGATATAACAACTCTGGTATATTTAAAATAATAAAGGCAAAATTATTGATTGAAGAATATTTTTCCTGTATGGGTAAAGAGAAGAATCAAGGCAATACTGTCAAAATTTAAGATTAAAAATGCACCCTAAGCTTTCCCAGGTCTGACTTATTTCCTATAACTTCTAGATCAATTGCATATGTTAAATATCTAGAATAATTAAGCTTCAAATGTAAATTTTAATACTGCATCATATTTTAAGGAGAATGTTTAAAAGGTCATGGGAATCTCAAGGAATAAACAGGAACCAAAGTATAATTTTTTATAAAGATAAAAAAGATACAACTAAAATTTCCATAATCAAAACAAGTCTAGAATATTATCTTCTCACATTAAAGTACATGATAAAAATATAGGCTTTTTCTCCATGAGATCATGTAGGGAACCAAACCAGGGAAACTAATCTACTGCTCAGTAAAGGTGTTCAGTCCTTGTTTGAAGTATTTGAGAGTTTGCTACTGGATTGCCACCCTGAAGTGGAAAGCAATATGTTTTATATAAATGCATGACTTCAAGGGTTTGAAAATTATTTACACTTATTGTATTGGGAATTAATTGTGTGATAATGTCTGTTCTTCAAGGAAGGTCTGATAATGTCTTCTTTCTAGCTGGACACCTTGTTCTAACAAAAATAAAACAATCTATTTCCACAAGGAGGTAGGAAGGTTGTAATGAATGGGGAAAATTTGCTGTTCTGCTAGACTGTTATTCTGGCCACCCAAGTATTCATGTACCCTTCTTACAAACATCCCTTCTCCAACAGATGCAATCAAATATTTTGTCTAGTTATTGTGTCTTATTCAAGTTTTAATATCTCTGGGTGGCAAATCACCCTTTCTGTGTGATCTAGATGAGAACACAACCTTCTGGCAAAGTAAAAAGCAAACATTATTCTCAGGCATTCCTATACCCCCATTCCACGCACACCCAATATACAATGATGGAGAAGCAAGAAGACCACAATGAAAATGATGAAGTAAATTAAATCTATTGGTTAATTAAAATTGTGAAAGAAATCATGATATATCAGAACTTCAAGAACGCCCTGTCCTGGCAGTGGAAAAATTCCTTAGTTATAGGAATTCTGTTCTGTGCATGAACTTTCTTATTCATTTTTCACTTCTGGCCTTTGGTGACCAATTGGGAAATTTTTCTCTGGAGATATAGGGCACATTGAGCCACTGTACCAATTTCCTACTCTTCTTCTTTCTGGTATACTTTTCCAAAAACAAAAATTTGTTTCTGTGTTGGTCAACTAAAAGCCTTTGAAGACAGAATAGTGCTTTTAAACCTTCTCATGAGTCAAGTGTTTTGGTTCATTTAATTTCAAAAACATAAATAAGACAGAAACATGTATATGACTGCCTTTGATCTATACAGACCAAATAACCATATATACATTTAAAACATTTCTAGTGTTTAAACAGACCTCATTATAATTGTCATTTCAGTCTTCTGAAATACTAGCCATGACTATTAATATACAATTAGTGTGCTTGATTTATTGGACTAAACACTAATCACTGACTTCCAAATACAAGGCATCAAACAGCCACTTCACTTAATGTACTTTGGTGATTTGCTGTGTATGCTTTTTTATGCTTCATTTTACCCAAAAACAAAAAACAAAAAAAACTGTCCTGTTAATGAATTGAACCACCTTATCCATAGGCATTTATGTACAGCCCATAGATACACACACCTGAGAGTGTAGTAAGATATGCAATTTGATGGTGTTTTCCACTTATTCTGAGAGGTCAAGTCCACCTCAAACTGTGACAGTAAACATTTAGTAACTTGCACTCAACTCCTCATAGTTGTCACCATCAAGAACAAGTAAAGGGGGCCAGGGATTTAGCTCAGTGGTTCGGTGGCCTGCCTTGCAAGCTCAAGGACCTGAGTTCAATCCCCGGTACCTAAA